ACAAAGAAACTTACTAACTTTAAGGCTATGTTATATAGTATTCACTTAGATTTTTCTATGAATATACTATAATATTTTCTAAATGTAGAATAATTCATACTTATTATTCTTAACTTTGCTATTGTTTACTTAGAACTTGCCTTGATAGTGCACATATATGTAGGTCATTCTTTTTAATAGCTTTCTAATTCAGTAGGGCTCTATTTAACTAGCTATTATCATTGGGCATTTGAGTTGGTTTTATTATTTTCCAATACAGATATCCAGGGTCATTTGACACTTTTGATCAGAAAATAGGAAATTTTAATGGTGTGAAAGAATGTCTTAGAGTCAGATGTAGACTCTCTCCATGGGACTGAATAGTTGGGGAACCTTAGGCAGGTCTCTGCTGCCCTCTTTGTCCTATGAAACAGGAAAATGGTAATTCTATTAATGTAATCTTTACCAGAACTTCAAGGAACTATGGGTTTAGTGCTATAGAGTTCTGGATCCAGTTTGTATTGTTAGACAATTACAGAGGATGTTATACTTTGAAGAGTCTCTCATTACAAGCAAATAATATGGCTCTAGAAGACCATTCATGGACTCCTCTGATCATGGCCAACTCCTGATGGTCTGGTGAAGTTCATAGTAGGATTTTGAGATTTTAAATTGAATTTCCAGTTACCCAGTTGTTTACATTTTCCATGTTTTTTAGATTGTGTTAACAGAAATGTACTATGATGGATTTCATCGTTCCTTTAGTGATACAGATGACCTAGAGACAGTCCATGAAAGTGATTGCATTTTTGCCTTTGAGACTCCAGAAATATTTAGACCAGAAGGAATTCTCAGTCAAAGAGGTAAATATACATGTTTCTATAATGCTACCTGAGTTTGCAAATTTGACCACTGTGGGCATTTAAGTATTATATGATAGTATAGAATTTAAAAGATTATGATTAAGTGCACACACTGCTGTTTTCAGATTTTTATTGTCTTTTGTCTGCTGTTTTTTTGTTGTTGTTGTTGTTTCCAATAAAATCCCCGTTTCTCTTACTGCCACTATTGAGCTTCTGAACCCCAAATCTGATTCCTCTGTATTGAACATCTGCCCCCTCAATTGCCCACTATACTCAGTTCTTCACATTCCTTGCTATTATGTAGAGGCCCTACTTCACCAGCTTCTAATTGTCCACATTTGCTTTAAGCTTCTTGAAGTCCCTAGTGTGCATGTGTGTTTGTGTTTTATTATTGCTCTTCTGTTCTTTTCGCTTGAAAACTATTAAACACATTTTAAAGGTACCCTTCCTTAAGTTACTCAGGGAGCAAGCCAGATTGCTTCTTGTATCATCATATCTAATAAATCACTGTCTCAAATGCCCTTTTTTTGTTCTGTGTCTATCTTATTGCAACAGAAATTTGTGTTCCTGTGCTCAATGATAAATAAAAATATCAGTAAATAAATTTAAGACAAAACCAGAAGAGATACATTTCCTAACTAGTTCTTTAAAGAAAAAAGAAATATAATTTAAAAGGTAGCCCCAATTTTTGTAACTCTAAATAAAAAATGCATTTGGATAGGGTAAGGTACCAAAGATAGAAAGACAAGTAAGTGAGTCATCAAGGGGATGTCCCCAGTGACTCACTTCCTCCAACGAGGCCCCACTCCTTGAGTTTGCACAGCCTCCTAATAGTTCTGTTAGCTGAAGACCAAGCCTTCAATACATGGGCCTTTGGGGGACACTTAAGATCCAAATCATGATGATCAGCTTGTCCAGAAAACATTTCTTCTCCTTGCTCCCTATGCTGGCTAAGTCTTCTGGATTACAGAGCTCCTATCCTAGCTTCTGCTGACCTAGGATATGTGTATGGCAATGATCTGTTGTCTCCTCTGTCCCATCATACTGACTGTCCCATCATACTGGAGTGTTGACTACCTTTTGCTCCATCTTTTTATGCCCAGCAGTTCCTAACGTGCAGCAAGAGCTCCAAGTCACACAGCTGTTAGAAGATGGGGCTCTAATTTGAGGAGTTAAGATTTCCCAGCAGCTGACTGGCATCCCCTATCTCATTAGGGACTTGATCACTTCTAGCAGAATAGGTTTTCCCATACTTACTTTTGCCAAGAACCTGGGAAATGGAGTAATTTATTGTTTCAGATTTGATTTTTATTACCTTTTTTTTCTTATACTGAAGTTCAAAATGTTTATAAAGAGATAGCTACTCTTGGGCTGGAGAGATGGTTCAGTGGTTAAGAATACTGGCTGCTCTTGCAAAGGACTGGGATTCAGTTCCCAGTACCCACTACTAACCAGGTTTCACCTTCATAGCTTCACATGGTGGCCTGTCATGGCCTCTAGTTCTGATAGGGCCTTCTTTATGCAGAAACACCCCTGCTGCATGTTGCCTGGCTTTGGTGGCTCTCTGAAACTGCAGATAAAGACCAGTGACCCCTTCACTCTTGCATCTTTCATGCTTCAAAAGCCAGCATCCTGTGAATGACACTTTGAAGTTCAGCTGCCAGCCTGGCATGGACCCTGCCCTGCTTCATCCACAGTAGCAGCTTTTGTCCATAGCAGTTTTCTAGGAGCAGAAACCTCCTTAGGCTTTTTCTTTTCACAAATTAGAGGCTTCTTTGGATGTAGTCTTTCCCTGAGGGTACTTCTTCCATTGTTCCAGTGCAAATCTAGAGGCCCATCCTTAGTAGCTCTAATCTCTTTATCAAAGAGATCCTCTCCTTCAGCACATGCCTTGGCGCCAACATTATTAAACTTCATAGTGCTCTCTTTTTCTCCAAACTACAGTCTTCATTTCTTTCTGTCCCACTTGCTCTTTTTCATTGTAGATCTACATAAAATTCACTGTTAACAGCCATACCATTGAGTCTACATTAGGCTGTATGATACTTTTCTCTGCCAAAGAAATTAATTCATTGCTTTTCAGCTTAGCCTCAGGTGAACTCTTAAACTGTGGGCAAACTCCACTGAGAATCTTTGCCAAAATATCCCAGTTGCTGCTAAAGTCCTTATTTCCCTCTGGAACTACTTCACTTTCAGCACTACTTTCTTCCAGACTTCTACTAGACTGACCCAATAAACTCTGCTTAAGCATTCTACTGCTTTTCTAGTCCAAACTTCCAAAGTCTCCCATATTCCTCCAAAAATCCACATAGGTTCTTCACACCAACACCCCATTCGCCCGGTACCAACTTTTGTATTGGTTACTTTTCTGTTGCTGTGTGGTAAGGCACCATGACCATGGTGTCGCCCGAGTTCTCTTAGGGTCCCTTGCTCCTGGCGCAGGTAGACAAACATTTTTATCTGAATTTTTCATGGTTTATATCTTTGGATGGGGAGAGGAATGACTTAAAAAGTGATGAACACTTGACACCCAGCACCCAGCTCTGTGCAGCTCAGCCCGCCCACAGTCTCCATTAGCTTTTGCCCATGCATTGTGGGCCTGCAGTCTCACCCCAGGTTGGTAAATGCCCCCTCTTACATCCACGCAGGTGAGACACCAGGGCCATCTTTCCGTGCCACCTCTTCTGTCCCTTCTGTTCCAATATGGTGCCCCAAAACCCCTCCCTCTGGGGCTAACTCTCTGCAGTCAATTCTCCACAGCAGGCCCTGCCCCTCGGAGGAACCAGGCCGCTTGGGACACACATGGCAACATAGAGAAGGAAGAGTTTATATGAGCTTACAGTTCTAGGAGAGAGTCCATAATGGTGGGGGAGGCAGGGCAGTGGGAGCAGAAAACTGAGTGAGCACATCTTCAAGCAGGCACAGGAAGCAGAGAGAGGCAGCCTAGAAGTGGGCATGGCTGTATACTCTCAAAGCCTTCCCCCAATGACATGTTTTCTCCAACATGGCCATATCTCCTAAAGGTTCCATGACCCTCTCCAAATAGTGCCACAAACTGGGAATCAATACTTGGAACTTACGGGGACATTCTCATTCAAATCACTGTAGCTCTAGAGTGCAGTTTTATCTTTTGTTTCTTATAATCAGGGACAAGAAAGTGCTAATGAAACATTGCAGATCATTCCAAATGTTGTCTGTATTATTTTTAAAAATGTATTTGATTGTTGGTTACTTGTCTAACTTTAAATTTTATTGGTGGGTCATTTCAGGAAACTGTCCACCATTCACTGAAGTTCTAATTTTCAGTTTTAAAAGATAGGGAAGGCTACTTTAGGAAAGCTGCCTTAAAGGAAGTAATGGATACTGACGCTTAGCTTAATGGTTAGATGAGTAATCTCACAATAGTGTATTTGTTCCTATTTTTGATTGTGGTTTAAATTATATAATGACAGTTCTTTATTATTTCTATTGGGTAAGTTCCTTTGTGGTGAATGAATGATGAGAATCTTGAAAGAGGTAAGTTGAGCTGTTTTTATTCTGTTTCAGGCATTCACTTAAACAACAATCTAAACCACTTGAAATTTGGCTTGGATCATCATAGGCTGTCTCCTCCACAAACAGCAGCCAAGCAAGGGAAGATGGACTCACCTGTTAGGGTGGCAAGTGACAAAATTGTTCTGCTGGTGTGTAACCGTGCCTGCACTGGGCAGCAAGGGAAAAGGTGAGAGCCAGCTTCTTTCCCAGTGAGTACTGAAATTTGTGAGGTCACATGCTTTGAAATAGTTTTAAAAGCAGAGATGAAAAATGTTTACTTTTAGTGGGTTGGTTTGTTTTGTTTTTGAGATAGGGTCTGTTCAAGGCTGTCCTTGAACTTATGATCCTCCAGCCCCAGGTCTTAAATGCTGAAGTTACAGGCATTTTCCATCAGGCCCAGCAGCAGTTAACCTTTAATTCTGGTATTTAGAAGCAGCCCTTGATTTGATTTGTTGTGTTGGGAGGGAGACAGTATAAAATTAGGATGCTAATCTGAGTTAGAGAGGTTTATTTTAAACTTCACTTAGATTTTGAGAGCTTATGTCCTATATCAGCTACATTTTTAATAACTTAAAAAAAAGTATTAACGTATCTGTTTGGATGGTACATGCTCCCCAGACTTATGTCCCAAACTGAACTTGTTATCTTTCCCTATGAAACTGGCCCTCTAGTGTCACCTATCTTGGCAAATGGTACCATTGTTCATTCAGCATTGTAGGTCACAAATTTGGGAGTCAGAAATCTCTCTCAGTCTCTCTGTTGCCCTCTTGAAGAATTTATGGGAACTGTAGACTATCCTTTTAAGTAACTTTGTCACAGTAATGTTACCTGAGTAGTAACAGATAAATGTGTTTGTGTGAGAAAGGACTCTGGCTTTCTAGTACTTGTTAGGATAGTCTTTATCTGAGCCTTTTAACATTTTGCTTTGAAATGACTTCCTTGTTGAAACATGGACATAAAATGTGTTGTATATATTTATGATCTAGCACTTACAGTGTATCAGGCACTATTCTAAACCCTGGGGATGTAGCAGGGAAGCAGACAGGATGTCTGTTCTCATGGAGCCATCATCCTAGTTAGGATAGAGTAACCCATCCTTTGTTTTTACTTTTAATTTCAGGTAGTTGTCCCCATGTTGAAGATGTTCACATAGGCTAGAATGATAGGGTATGAACAAGGAAAGGCAGTGGGTCTACCTTAGAACCAGAGCTCAGGAAGATGTCTTGCAAAAAAGGGAACATGTCCCAAGGAAGAGTGAGTTGTGGGATCATCTGTGGAGAGGATCCCATGAAGAGGGACTCCATTGTAGACACCAGGACTAGGGGTGTGACATGTTTAAGGCATAGAATGGAAGGAAGCTCATGGTATTTTAATGAACTAGAGACCTGTGGAATCCCTCTGTGGTACTATGGCTCTTAAGAGTGGAGACATTGTCTTGTGATAGGGAACTCCTTTTCATCATGGCAGATAGCTTCAGTGTTACTACTGTGAGTAAACAGCTAGATAGCCATTAGAAATGGGTTTCTTGGTGATTTTGTCATCTGTGGATCAGCCTGAGCCTTCATCAGAGTTCATCTTTTGATTGGTTCTTCATGCATTGACTGACTCATTCTGTGTTTTCTATATTCCAGGCATTAGCTATTCAGGCTGCTAAAGTAAATAAATTTAATTCTTGCCGTCAGATAACCCAAAGTCTATTGTGGAGGCAGATGGAAAGTCAAGCATTGTTTATAACCCAGTGTGGTTAGTACTATAGTAACACAGGGAATGAAGCTATCATGCAGATGAGCAGGGGTACGCATAGAAAGGTAGGGAGGGTATTTCATGCTGAGGGAGTAGCCTGTAACAGACCTGGATGGGTAGAGAAGGACACATTCAGGGATCAGTACATAGGCATGAACAACTAGGACATGAATGAAGCTGAGGCTAGACCAATGGTTGTCAACTTCAGCTGTATGTTAGAACTACCTGGAAAACTCCTGAGAAAAGTCTCAGCGCTCAAGCCACATTCTAGACTAATTTCAGCAGAATCTCTGGTGGCTGGCTTGGGTATTAGTAGTTTTTGATAATGCCTTGGTGACTTCAAATGCAGCTGAGACTGAGAACTACAGTACTATTTCTGGATGTATAGGGCATAAAAACCTGGCAGCTTAGTTCTTAGAGTAGGAGCTGACTTCAAGAGTAACTTGGTTGTCACTGCCTCTTTTGTCAGACTAACAGGGTGGGTTGCCTACTCCTTAGACCTTCCAGTCTTACCTGTTCCTGATAACTTACCCCTTGACCTACACTGTTGGCCACATTCCTTTCCATTCTCATGCCTCTTCTTCAGTGTTTCTGCTCAGCCTGCCTCCTTGCTACCTAATAGCTAGCATTGGACTTTGCAGAAGCCATTCAACTGAGAAAGCTAAACATTTCTGATTTGTCATCATCTCTTTATGAGAATTTCCACATTGCTTTTCCCACTTGAGAACTGTACTAAAACCATTTAGATTGTGATTCCCTCCTCCTTTAAACAGACGAAAAATAGGAGAGTATAACCCTGAAGGAATTGCTGTGTTTAAGGTGATCATGTCATTTGTGTGTGGTAGGTTTGGACTGCCTTTTGTCCTGCACCTAGAGAAGACAATAGCATGGGACCTTCTGCAGAAGGAAATCCTAGAGAAGATGAAATATTTCTTGAGGCCTACAGTCTGCATTCAGGTTTGTAAGCACTTCGGTATTCTAGCAGAGCATGCTTTTTACTCAGAAGCAGCAGCCACTCCTGTGAAATTTCTTTTGTCCAGATCTTTCAAGACAATTTATTTCTCATTTTATGAAAGGAGCTGACCACTCTAGTAAATTCGTTTATGACACCTATCTAGTAAAGTTTAATGTATGATCAGTGTGGAGATGCTTTAGAACTTTTATCTCTATATTTTTAAAATTATCAATACTATGGTAAGGTATCCCATTAAATTAATGTTTAGTGAAAGCAATGTATTACTTGTATACCACTTGATAAATAAATTACATTTGGGTGAATCATACTTAAAGTGGAGAGTGTTTTGCAAAATGAGCAGTTTGCTGTACCTCTAATCTTTGTTTTGGAAATGCTACTTTAAAATATGGCCTTGATGAGAAATCCAGCCTAATTGTCATTTGACATTTGACACAGGTGTGTCCATTCAGTTTGCGTGTGGTCAGTGTTGTCGGAATAACATACTTGCTGCCCCAGGAAGAGCAGCCCTTGTGCCACCCTACAGTAGAAAGGTAAAAGACAACCTAAAACCCAAAAACCACCTTCTAGAATCTCACATGTGCTGTTTAAAGTCATATCTGATGTCTGATATAATTTCCATATATGTGTGTTAAATTCTTTAAGCCTATTTGGAAATTAAATATGGGTTTTAGTTTTGATTTGTTCTGAATATGAAGTAGTCTATGATCTTTTCTTGAAATCAGAATATCTTATGTCAAGAAGCAACTTAATACATGTAATAGGACGCTGCATAAATTACAGTTTCATATTCACCAAGATTGAAAGTTTTTTAGGGTAGCATCCCCCCTACCCCGGTCTTTTTGAGGCAGGGTCTCCCTGTAGCCCCAGCTGGAACTCAATACGTAGACTAGGCTGGCCTTGAACTCACAGAGATCAGCCTGCCTCTGCCCCACCGAGTGCTAGAATTAAAGGCGTATGCCACCATGGCCAGCTAGGTAACATTCTAGTTATGCCTCATTCTTCTCTGACATCCTTACCTGGTAACTTGTCTAGAAAATAAAGCCTGTACCCCACATTTTGAATTTTGCACTTCACTTTAGTCAGGTCTGTTTTCTGTCTTTCTCTCTACTACACAAAATATCCTGATGGTTTGTGAACACGTGACACCTGTCTAATATGTGTATTTTACATGGGTAGTTAGCTCAGTCCATAATTCCTTTAATCTTTACATTGTTCTTCCTCCTCCTGTGTTAGAATTAGTTGCTCCATTATGCTATCCCATGCTTCCTATATACGTCTATTAAATTTATAGTACCAATAGAGGAATGTGTACATATACCACACATAGGTGGCCACATAAAGATACATATTGTTTTTATTAGCGATTTTTTTTTCAACACTTTTAAAAAACACACAAGGGAGGGCATGATGACACATGCTTGTGATCCCAGCACAAGAGAATCAGGATTTGAAGGCCATCCTTGGCTACATAGTGAGTTTCAGACCTTGGGTGGAGAAGACCCTGTCTTAATCACCCTCTGTCCTCCCCCTTTTTTTAAACAATGTAGCCTTGTTTGAACAGTTGCTGTTTGGTTTTAGACATGAAAGTTAATAGGTAAGTAATCAAAGTATTATACATGATAAGAAAGAGAAAGATAGTAATATTAACCATGAGTGTTGAGGGTCTCAAAATAGGATGGTGATCAGTGAGCTGGGCCAGCTGGTTTTATGGAGGGAGGAGAAAGGCACAGTGTGGGTTGGCATGGGCATGTGCTAGACATAGTGGGGGCAGGAGGACACATATGAGAGCAGACTGTTCAGGAAGCTGTCTAGTCTCTAGGTGGGTGAGAAATTGGGCAAAAGTTGGAAAGGTCATAATAACATGAGTGTATGTGGACATTCTTCTAGGGTGATACTAAATTTCTTCTCTTATTTCTGTTTTGGACATTTTAATTTAAGGACTTTTTCATCCCATTTGTAAGCTAGTTAATAAATCTGAGGTTACAGTGGTCTCACTAAAGACTTTTTTCTGATGGAAAACTATGAAGATTTTCTGTAATTGCATGATTCCAGATAGAACATTAATCACATTTAAGTAAAATCTTTCTTTTAGAAAATAATGCATGTGTTTCCTCCCTCCCACTCTTTAGGGCATTGAAGTCTTGTGGACCTGGTGGCACAGCTCATGTGAAGCTTGTAGTGGAATGGGACAAGGAGACAAAAGATTTGTGAGTTATTTCTTTTCCATATAGTATTTATTAGAATTTTAGTAGCACACCGATCTTTCAAATTAACTGGAACACATACCTTATCCATAGCTAAGGACAGTGTGTTGTTAATCCTTTATTGAAGCAGTTTATTATTCTTTTTCTGTACATTCTTTCTGTCTCAAAAATTTAGAGCATCTGTTTGCTGCCAGGGAAGAAGCCATGTGCTCATTAACTGATATGGATGTTAATTTACTTTTATTTTTGTCACAGACTCATCAGCTCCAACAATCTTATGTCAAATGGATATGTTCTTAGATACCACATACAAAAATTTATGATTTAATCAGCTTGGGCTGGAGAAATGACTCAGTAGTTAAGAAGTCATATTACTGTTGTAGGGGACCCAAGTTTGAGTCCAAGCTTCCACAGCAGCTGACTTAAAACCACCTATAACTCCAGCTCCAGAGGACCTGATACTTCTGGCCTCCCTGGGCACTCATTTAAAATAAAGCAGCACAGCTTATAGACAGCTCAAAAAAAGCTAATTCCAAGTTAATTCTTTTTAATTTTATTTTTTAAAATTATTTTTAATTTTTAAAATTTTATTTATTTTTATTTTATGTGTATGAATTTTTTGGGTGCTTGTATGTAAGTGCATCCAATTGTGCAGTGCTTGTGGAGGCCAGAAGAGGGCATTGAATCCCCTGGAACTGGAGTTATAGATGGTTGCGAGCTGCTGTGTGGGTGCTGGGAATCAAACCTGGGTCTTCTGCAAGAGCAGCCAGTGCTTAACTGCTGAGCCATCTCTCCAGCCCTCTGAGTTAATTTTTAAAATAACTTTGCAGATACAGAAAGTTTCAAGAGCATTCTGGAACGTAGAAGAGTTGAATAACCACTTTAGCATTCTTACTCATTTGTATTAGTTACTTTTCTGTTGCTGTGATAGAATCACTGACCAAAGCAACTTATAGAAGGAAGAGTTTATTTGAGCTTATGGTTTCAAAGGGGTAAGAGTCCATCATGGCCGAGAGGCATGGCAGCAGAGAGGGCTGGAGTAGGAACAGAAGCAGATGCTCACATCTTCAAGCAGGCACAAGAAGCAGAGAGTGACTGGAGATTTGGCAAGGCTTAAGAATTTTCTAAGCTTGCCCCAGTGACGGACTTCCTCCAATATGGCCATACCTTCTAAGACCTCCTGAAACTTTCACCAACTGACAAATGTCCTGCTACTTGGAGCCTATGGGGGGCATTCTCATTCAAATCACCACATTCCACTCCCTGGTCCCCATAGGCTCATGACCATATAAAATCAAAATGCATTTAATCCAACCTTAAAAGTCCCTAGTCTTAGTATTGAGTTTACCAGTCTCAATACTATTCAAAAGTCCACACTCCAAAGTCTCAGAATTCTGAGACTCAGGACAATGTCTTAACTGTAAGCCTCTTTAAAATAAAAAACAAATTACATACTCCCAACATACAGTGGAACCAAATGCACATTCCCATTCCAAAAGAGGAATAGAAGCATAGTGAGGAAATACTAGGACCAAAATAAGACTGAAAACCAGCATGGCAAACACCAAATCCAGTAGCTTTACATCTGCCTTCTGGGACTTTACTTCCAAAGGGCTTAGATGTCTCAGCCTTTCTAGCTTTGCTGCATGAATCATACACCTCTCTCTTGGGCTGGCACCACTCCCTGTATGCAGCTCTCCTAGGCAGGTGTCTCACAGTTTGGTATCACGAACATCCTGGAGTCTTCACTGTCAACCAGGCTTTTCCTTCACAGCTTCACACAGTGGCTTACAAGGGCCTCCTTTATGCAGGGATACCCCTGCTGCATGTAGCCTGGCCTCAGTGGCTCTCTGAAACCTCAGAGGAAGATCCAATGACCCCTTTACTCTTGCATCTTTCATGCCTTCAAAGCCAGCATCAATTGAATGACACTGCCAAGTTTGGATGCAAATTTGGGGTGAACCCTGGCCTGCTTCATCCATTTTTGGCTTTGCTCTGCTGTGGTTTTTCTAGGAGTAGAAAACCCTAACATTTTCCTTTTACAAGTTGGAGGCTTAGCTGCATGTGGTCTTGCCCTGGAGGCACTCTCTCCATTGTTTATGTGCAGATCTCTAGGCCTCTCCTTAATCACTTTAATCTCCTTATCAAAGGGATCCTCTGCTTCAGCACATGCTTTGGCTCCAAGATTAATCTTCCTAGTGCTCTTTTTCAATCTAAACTATACATTCTATATTTCCTTCCGCCCCATTTGCTCTTTTTCACTGCAGATCTGCATAATATTCACCAGTAATAGCCACACCAACATTTCTACATTAGGTTGCTTTGAAATGCCCTCCACTAAAGAAATTCATCCATTGCTTTTCAGCTTAGCCTCAGGCAAGCTTTTTGGCTATGGGCAGACTCCAGTCAGAGTCTTTGCCAAAATACCCCAATTGTTGCTTAAGTCCTTATTTCCCTCTGGGACTACATTGGTTCTCAGCACTACTTTCTTCCAGGTGTTTACTAGAATGTTAAGCTCTGCTTACAGTAGTCAACTGCTTTTCTAGCCCAAACTTCCAAAATCTTCCACATTCTTCCCAAAACCCACATGGTCAGGTTCTTCACAGCCGCAGCCCACTCTCTGGTATCAATTATTGTATTAGTTACTTTTCTGTTGCTGTGATAGAAACACTGACCAAAGAAACTTGTAAGAAGAGTTTATTTGAGCTTACAGTTCCAGGGGAATTATAGTTCTTTATGGCAGGGAGGCATGGTGGCAGGAGGTTGCTGGAGCAGGTGCAGAAAGCTGAGCACTCATCTCTTCAAGCAGGCACAGGAAGCAAGAGAGCAAGTTGAGATCCGGCAAGGCTTAGGAACCCTCTAAGCCCACCTCCAGAGACATGCTTCGTCCAGCATAGCACACCTTCTAAGACCTTCCAAAACAGAGTTGCCTGCCATGGACAAAATGTCTGATTACTTGGAGCCTATGGGGGACATTCTCATTGAAACCACCACATCGTTGATCTGTTGGGTTATGAATTCTTAGCTACTTTGTAAAGCTGTAATAGCATTTTTTGTGTCTGTTTCATAAGACCTTCTCTGAAAGTTGCTGTTCCCCTTAACTGTAGCTTGTTTGTAAATACTGAAGATGAGTATATCCCTGATGCAGAGAGTGTCCGTCTGCAGAAGGAGCGTCATCATCAGCCACAGACCTGCACTTTATCCCAGTGTTTCCAACTCTACACCAAAGAGGAACGGGTAAGCAGCAGGGCCTGTGAGGTGAGAGTGAGGAGACAAATTCTGCATTGCAAAATACCCCAGGAATTTGCATTTCCACCAGTTCTACACATGCAAGGGGCATCTTAGTACTATTCCTTTTAGGACTTTAACAAAAAGTGCTTTACATTTTTGATGAATTGGAGTGCTTTAGAATGAACCTTTGTAATTTTATTTGGCTTTTTTTTTGGTCTTTTTGAGACAGAGTTTCCTTGTAGCCCCAGCTGGCCTGGAACTCGCTATGTAGACCAGACTCACTAAGATCCTCCTGCCTCTGCCTCCCAAGTGCTAGGATTAAAGGCCTGTGCCACTTCACCTGGCCTTGGATTTCTTTTTAATGTTAATGGTATTTTATTTATTTGTATCAATTTGAAAGTCAAATTATTTTCTCAACCCTTTTGGTTGTTTTGGTTTATTGAGACAGATGAGGGACTTTGGCACTCTAGGATCAAGACAGCAGTTCTTCCCGAATGCTGTTTATACTGTAGAGCAGGAAAACAAGCCTATAACAGAAGCAAAGGTCCTGGGGTAGGATGGATCTTGGCACAGTTGAAGAAAAGAAATGCAGCCAGTGTGGCAGTAACACAAGAGCTAACGGAGAGAGTGGAGACAGTATGAGCTCTGCTGAGAGCCAGGACTCCATCTGTTTCACTAAATATTCTTGTATCTAGAGCAGTGCTTGGCACATAGGAAGTGTTCAGTAAATATGTACTAGAATGTGTGAGTGGTACTTGGGAAGTTCAGTGTCAGGCCAAAAATAACAGTACTGATATAGAGGAGGAAGTGGGTTAGTACTTGGCTTTGTGTCAATAGCTTGGGGTCCAGTTGTCTTCATGCTCAGTATTGATCAACAGTGCCCTTGGGAATGAGCCACTGTCATGCTGCCTTCCAGAGGCTTTGGAAACAGTGCCCAGAACTGCAATGGTGATGGTGCTGTTCTTTTAATCACTTTCAGTGCTCACTGTTAATAAGGATGGTAAATAGTGACACACACGTGGAGAGAGGGTCGGAGTGGTATACCTGGGAGCCATGACACAGTCAAGCATATTTTGATGATGGAGACTTTGAAGGGGGATCTGATAGTTTTTTTGTTTACTTGGGCTAGCTTGTGGATGACAAGTTGGACTTAATTTTATATAAAGAGCAGAATCTAAAGGTTAGAAATGCTGGAGAATGATTTTGTCCTCCCGAGGAAGACCTCTGTAGCAGACTTGTTGGAAGGTGTCTGCAGAGCTAGCCCCTTCAGTGCCAGGGTGGTGAGAGTATGATCTCCAGGCCTGGGAGCTTTCTAGCAGTTTATAGTGATATCAGTCAGTAGAGAAACCAGAGAAGCGTCTTAGGAGCTATCAGAGCAATTGGATGTTGTGATGTTTGTACTATATTTTATGAAAGTATTTATTCATAATGTACTGGGATTTAAACACACAGAAGCCTACTTTTTTACAAGTATGGGTTTGCATAGCCACATAATGGGAGCATAGATAGGTCACACAATTTGAGACCCTTCCATCTGGCTTTCTGGTTCACTCCAACATCTACTGAAGCTTCCCCCCCCCCCAAAAAAAAAAAAACTCTTGTCCATCTGACCTGCACCATAGACACTGGTCCCTGAGGTTCTTGGTGACCTCTGCTCAGGCTACATTTGACTACCATGTGGTGCACAGCATTACCTTTGATGTAGTCTCATGACTATTGCAGTACCTAAAGGGAGTGGAATTCTTCTGATTTCCAGGTTTGTTTGGTGGTGGTGGTGGTAGTGTTTTTATTGTATCTTCAGGCTGTGTGGCTTCTGAGTTTGGGTATTTCTCTTAAAAACAGCATTTTCTCAAGTTTCTGACCTTTCCTTCCATTCCACTGGGAATTGTCTTCTATTCCAAGGTGTTCCGTACCTTTTCCTGTGGATGATCCCAGGTCTAATATCGACTCTGAACTCTGGAGTCATCTGGGTTCCTCATGAATTTGAAACATTTGATTTAACATGTCCCCATTTTGAAATTTTTCCATGTAGAGATGATGTGTTTGGATTTAGAATATCAGACTGATGTTTGGAAGTGCTTGTTGAGAACAGGAAGGAAGAATTATTTGGAGTAGTTCAGTGCTGGAGGAGAAAATGCTTAGGAGAACCATGAAGTGTGGGCAAAAGTGAACTAGGACTTGAATGAAGTGGTGTTTACAGAGGTTAGTTCCATGTTGATGGAAAAGTGGTGAGTTGCATTTTGGAGTATGCTGACCTTGGGGAACATCCTCTCTATGATATTTACTCATTTGGTCATTCTTTTTTTTTTTGTTTGTTTTGTTTTTTTTTTTGTTGTTGTTGTTTTTGTCTTTTTAAATTTTATTATTTTTATTTTATGTGTATGAGTGTATTGCCTGCATGTGTTTGAGTGCACCTGTGTCGTGCATTGCCGCGGAGGTCAGAAGAGGGATTCGGATTCCCCTGGAACTTGAGTTAAGGTGGTTCGTAGCTGCCATGTGGGTGGTAGGAATTGAACCCAGGTCCTCTGCAAGAGCAGTCAGCTCTTAACCGCTGAGCCAACTCTCCAGCCCTAGTCATTCCTCTTTGAAGGAGGTCTGGTCAGCATACATTTGAGTACCCACACTGGCCAGGTCTTGCTTGTGAGTGTGGTATTCCATTGACTGTTTTTATGTGCAGCTTTCAGAGAGAGACTGAGTGGAACCAGGCCCTGGACAAGAAAGTAGCTGTCTGCAATGACAAGTGCTTGAGTTGAGTGGTGCCTAATAGATAGAAGTCTCACTCCTTGTTTCCAGCTTGCTCCAGATGATGCCTGGCGGTGCCCACACTGTAAGCAGCTGCAGCAGGGGAGCATCACATTAAGCCTGTGGACTCTGCCTGATGTTCTTATTATACACCTCAAAAGATTTCGCCAGGTAAGGAAATCCTCTGTCACCAGGGAAAGCTAGTGTTACTATATTTTCTTGCCTCCTGTTTGTGGTGATATGTGGGTTCTTTGGTGACCCTGTTGGATACACTGACACTGTCTGGATACAGACAGACAACATTTGTCCCCATCTGTGGTCATGCTGTGTTCCTTTTTAAAGCAAAATTTGAGATTCCTGTGACCCTCTAAGGTTTTATTTTATTTTTAAATTATGTGTATGTGTGTGTATACATGCATGTGAGGTGTGGGTGTCCAAGGAGGCCAGAGTTGTCAGATTCCCTGGAGCTGGAGTTAAGTTGTAGTTGTAAGCCACCTGACATAGATGCTGGAAATTGAATTCAGGTCCTCTGCAAGAACAGTATGCGCTTTGAACCAGTGAGCCATCTCTCTAGCCCCAAAGGATTTTATCCCCCTCTTTAAGATAGAGTCTCCCTATGTAGCTCCAGTTGGCCTGGAACTCTCTATGTAGACTAGACTGGTCTCTGCCTCCCGAATGCTGAGATTAAAGGTGTACACCACTGCACCCCAGCTCCCATGAACCTTTAAATCCTCAACATTGTAGTTCATATCACACATGTTTTACTTTGTTCTTGATGGTTTGCTTTAGACTTGTAAATGTTTGCTTAAATTTTAGTGTGTTTACTCTAGGACTAAGAGGTGATCCTTTATGGGGGAGTAGAGTTCTATTTCTACTGAATGTAATAAGCAGTGTTGTCCTGTTCCAGGGAGCTGCTGTACAGTTGGGGAGATGAGTCATAAATAGATACAAAGAAGATCTGCTCTTTGTTGTACTGCTTTGTGAGTTACTTTTCCCTAAAAGCCTGCCTATCCCTTGAGGTCAGGAATGTCCTAGACAACCCCATTGTGAAAAAGATAAATGAGAGGTGAGCCAGAGTGCTGTGAGGACTGGCTTTATGAAGGTTTGTACGTGAAAGATGTTTGCCAGATGAGAAGAAAGCAGGACTGCACCCTCAGGTGAAAGAACAGTTTATACCAAGCCCAGGGACTTGAAGAGGCTGAAAGCAGACAAGAGGGTGGGATGGTGGTGGGAGCCAAGGTGGAAGGAGGTGGGCAGAGAAAACCCTTACAGTCAGAGTAGGATTTGTTGAAGAACTTTAAACAAAGAAGCACAGTTTCCAAGTGTGTGTTTGGAAAAAAATCACTTTCAGTGCCATATGGAGAGCACATAAGAAATTGCAAGTATTGTGGGCACCTAGACACTGCTCTGGTGTGGAATAGAGTTGTGGCAAGTAGGGATGGAGAGTTGGGAAGACTTGAGAGGAGGACAGGGGGAGACATATACCTAGTTCCCAAGAACAAGGGTTCAAATTGGGTTTGTAGGACACTGAAACGTGGGCCCTTGCTTGGGCACCCAATTTCTTATTTCCGTTGGGCTTTGCAGGTGGGAAAACTGGTTGAGGGTTCAGATCCAGCCTTCTTGGTCTTCTTCCCCCAATACTTTCCTTTGGTTTTTCCCTTCCAGAAACCCAGACTCAAAACTGCAGTGTTTTCTTTGCCTCCTCTTTCTTGTCCCCTTCGACTAGGCGGCCACTTGTATAGCTTGGCTCTGTCTCTTCTTGGACTCCTTATGGGTCTCCTTCTGCTTCCTGTCTCCTGCCACTTCAGACTCTCTGTTACTTTTCAGCTGGTCACAGTTGCAGTCTTTTAATTGCTGTCTTAACTCCCATAGCTCTCCCCTTCCTAACATGTCTTACACACTGCTCACAGTTCTTCACACACAACTGGTAGCACTATGTCCTCCATACAAACCTCAGTGCTTCTCCCTTAACTACAGAATCAGATCCCCATTCTTCAACTTGGCCCTCTGACTATTTAGGTAGGACTCTTTATCCTAAGAATGTTTATCTTCCTTTAATAGCTCCATAACTCCTAGGGATGGTCACATCCATTTCTGAATAGTTTTTAAAAGTTCTGGTCACAAGAAATATGCAGTAGTATCTGTTCAACTGGTGTTTGGGTTTTAAGGATATTCCTTTGGGTTTAGTGGATTACTCAAGATTGTTCATTTAGCATGAATACAGCTAAGTTTAAATAAGTCAGTGTGAACTTTAGTGGGCATGTTGGAAGAAGTGGAGAGGAAAGGATCACTACTTATTGAATAACTCTCCAGTGCTAGGCAGTTCCACTCTATTAATTTTCAGGCCTCTGTGACTGAGGTGTCAGGATGAACCACCTGAAATTGTCACTTTTTTTTCCTAAGGCCCCTTCTCCCGCCCCTGTCTTAACAGATAAAAGGAATTGAAAATTCAGAGGTTCATTTACTCCCTGTGTGTTGGTCCTCATTTGTTCCATTTTAGGTGATATGAAAACCCTTGTTTCTCTAGATACTTAATACTGTTTATTTCCCTATTACGTACCTTGGGAAACATCAGATAGGTGATTTGAACTGCTTTATCCAACAGGGTCTACATTCCATGCTAGACTGATCTTCCATCGGCTTACAATAAAATGTCATCAGAACTTGTTTTTCTTCTTGCAACAGGAAGGAGACAGGCGCATGAAACTTCAGAACATGGTCAAGTTCCCCTTGACTGGCCTGGACATGACACCTCATGTGGTTAAGAGAAGCCAGAGCAGCTGGAGTTTGCCATCCCATTGGTCCCCATGGAGACGGCCTTATGGACTTGGGAGGGATCCTGAGGACTACATCTATGACCTGTATGCTGTGTGCAATCATCATGGCACCATGCAAGGGGGGCACTACACAGGTCTGCAGCGCGAGAGGCCGCGTGTCTGTGCTGACGCTTCCTTCGGGCTATTTGCTTGTAGCTTTTGAATCTCCCTTTGTCTTCCAGTGGGCTGTGTGCCAGCTCTCAGGACAACTTCATCCTTCAGATCTCCATCCAGGAGCAAATACATGAAAGTTCTTCCTCTTTATCCTGAGTTCCATCATCCAGTAGTGTGCAGACCTGACAGAAGAATGTGTGCACAAGATAGGTCTGGTCTGGTTAGCTGAGGAGTCACTCCTGTTTACCCAGCGTGCCTTCCCATTGCAGCTATGCTCTGTTTTCTTGACGTTCCAGCATCTCCCTTATTTAGAATGATTGTGAACCACTTTAATAGTGTCTTTATTCTTTTAATTTTAAGAATAAATTTACTTTTGCATTTATAAAAGCAATTCTGTTCAGCACATGAAGTTCAGGGACTAGAGATACCATTGTCAGGTGTATTAGGATAACAACTGCTAACATTTAAAAAATTGTGACTAAAATATATACAATTAAACTGACCATTTTAATAAATATTAAGAGTACGGTTGGTGGCATTAAGAACACACATTGTTCTATAGCCATATCACTACCCATTTCCACACTTTTGCTGTCTTTTCAAACAAAAGGTTATTTCCAGGCTCCCCTCCTCTAGCCTTTGACACCCACTATACACTCTATGTCTATGAACTTACTACTTTAGGCACCTATAGTTCCACATTCCTGTAAGTGGAACTATATAGTATTAGTTCTTTGTAAATGCCAACATATCTTTAAGGTTCATCCATGGTAATGCTTTGATACAGGCAAATATTTTGCATAGATTTTTGCTATTATTTTAAACTTATGATCATGCTGGTGTGTTCCATTCATGAACATTTATTAAACACTTTGTAGTTAGCTTGCAGTGGACTCTGTCACATCGGACATAACTTGGTTCCACCCTGTATCTTTCAGGAGTGGAGTCAAGTGGGCAGAGATACAGATAACAAATTTTTAAAAGTACAGCACTGTGTAGTAAGTGGTGGTGGAAGTATGGGAGGTGGGGCAAGAGAAACTACCCGAGATTGATAACCTACTGCCTGTGTGCCACCCTCTTCTGGCCTAATTGGGTAGAGGAACTGGATATACCATGGTGGTGTAAAGATTATATTACCTAGTGATAGTGTAGCATCTTCTCTTGTGCATCTGTACTGGTGTTCTAATGACAAATTGCAAAACATTGCATTTCTCAGGATGTATTTCTGTTAAATGGCATGATTATGTAGTTCCCAGCTGCTAAACATCTGTACTGTTTCTGATTTTTAACTTCTAGTGCTGATGAATCTCCTTGTACATTCTCACTTTTTTTTTAATTTCTGATTCTGTATTTCCTTGAGATTGAGTTTCAGAGATTGAATTATTGGATTAAGGGCATGCACAGACCATTTGGAGGCTGGGCAGATTTTCGGGCTTCTTGCTTGGACATTTGTCTATGTAAGGGTTGATATGAAGATCAGACTGTTAACTTGGTTATCTGTAAGAGTCTCCAGGACTCAGATCACTGTATCCTTTTTCTTCTACATAGTTGATGATTATATTTCTTAAGAATATTACTGCTTTATCAGTTCAATAATTTCTATGACAAGACCCTGGCACACTAAAGCTGGCCATCGATTTATAATTGTAGGTTGAGGTAAAATATGGTAGGGCTCTGCCTGATGTTATTTTTAAATCCCTGAGACTTTCTCCTAGCAGTTATCCACCAATTACTATGCCCATCAGCAAAATAATAATGTCTATTGACTTTCTCAGCTTTGTAACACCCCCCCCCTTCAACTTTCTCTTTTCCTCCTCAAGGGGGTAGGTGGTCAGGGTGATGACTGGCTGTAATCGCTCATTCTTGAAATCCTTTTAGTTGAAATTCTTTAAGTATTTAGATGCTCTTGGTAGCAACTGTTTTTTGAGAAGAATGATCCCAGCCTTTGAGTGTGTTTCATGATGGGATGGTTTGAATTGCTTTTGCCTGCCTGGGAAGCACTTGTGAGGAGAAAAACAAGGCGGGTCCAGAGATACTTGAACTTCACAGACAGCAAGATGTTAATTAATTGCTCAGATATAGTTTACCTTGTACTTTGGTTTAAAACCAATTCAAAATGTGCAATGTTTGCTTTACATGTTTCTATGGGGGCCACTTGTATGATAATTATATTTCTAGTTGGATATTTGCTTTTGTGGCATTGCTAGTAACATCTGTGTTCTTTGATACTGAATCATGGAATTCTATATTTTTGCTTTTAGAATGCAAAGGGACTCAGAGGTAATTGACTTTTACTAATTATTTGCTGTGGTAGCACCTTTGTATCTCTGATTGGTATTTATACTGTTTCAGTTTTGGTAAAGAAGTCATCTTGTACTTAACAGTGTTTCTGAGCAAAATATGGATTGGTTTGTTAGGTACTTTCTAGCAAGAAATTGGTAGGGAAAATAGAATAATGCTAGATTTCAGAATATTGTGTTGCTCTTTACTTAGAACAAACTTTGGAAAGTGCCTGGAAACACATGGAGACAGTGTAATTTAGTGTAAGGAGCTTGGGTAAGAATGCAGATCCATCTCCCTAGCTCTGTGACCTTGACTTAGTAACTTAAGTGACTTGGGAAGCACATTGATGGGAAGCACACTGAAGCGAGTATGTCTGATGGGCTTCATATGCAGGAGGTGTCCATGTATTTTCTAGATCATTTTCTTTCCTATTCTGTGTGTGCACTTGGGATTGGGGTGGAGGCCAGAGGAAAACCTTGGGTGTTGTTTTTCAGGTTCTCTCCACTTTGTTTTGAGACAGCATCTCTCACTGTCCTGGAACTTTCCAATTAGGCTAGGCTGGCCAGCCAGTGAGCCCCAGGGATCTGCCTGTCTATTTTCCTAGCACTGAGATTATAACCATGTGCCACCATATCAGCTTTGAGCTTTACCTGGGTTCTTGGGATCAAACTCTCCAGTTCCCTTACTGCTTGTCTCCTCTATAAAATGTTGAGAGTTACAGTTTAGAGAAAGTAACTTCAATATCTAAAACATTTTTTGTTGATTTTATTTATTTGTGTTGGGTGGAACATGAATGTGTGCCATGGTGGGCACATGGAGTTCAGAGGACAACTTGCAGGAGTGTGTTGGTTCTCTCCTTCTACCATGTTGGTCCTGGGAATCAATTCAGGTTGTCAGTCTTGACCTGTTGAGCCATCTCGCCAGTGCCCTAAGTATTTTTTAGTTAAAGATTCTCTGATTTTTAAGTTTTCTTGGAATGTCTATTTGAATATATTCTGTTTTTTTCAATACATACAGACACACACACATATTTGGTGTTGAATTTTCATTCATTTCATACAATTCATCTTGGTCATATTTAGCTTCCCCTCACCAGATTTCATGCTGTCATATTTGTTAAAGCCTATTGAGTCAAGTTTGTGTCCTCAGAAGTCCCTTGGTGTGAGTTCATCCACTGGAGCCTGGTCAGCCTGTCTAGCATCACTTCCTTAAAGAAGACCAACTCTCTATTATGCAGGAGTGATAAGCTGCTAAAGTTGGAGCTTCTTACCTATTTCCCCGCTTTGCTGAGTTTTTGTCTGATTTGAGTTTGCATGGTCTTATACATGCTGTCACCATTGCTGTAAGTTTGTATGAACAAGTTTCCAGAAGCCTGGAAAACTGTTTCCTTGTGGTCATCCACCATCCATATCTTTGCAGTCTTTCTGTCTCCTCTTCCACAGTGGTCCCTGAGCCCTGGATGAGTGAGGGCACGGACTCTGCAATCTCTTATTCTCTATATTTTGACCAGTTGTGGATTTCTATGTTAATCGCCCTCTGTTGCATGAGGAGGCTTCACTGGTGAGAGTTGAGAGATGCATTAGTATTCTCTCTACCCCCTGTTCTACTGTGTTTCGTGAGCCTTATGTGTAGCGGTTCCATTGTAGATACATCACTAAGGGCTAGGCATCTCAGAGACACTTATTCTCTGTGTTTGACAGTTATGGGACTCTGTAATAATAGTCTTCATCTGTTGCAAAAAGAAACTTCTTTGATGAGTTCTGAGAGGTATATTGTCTATAAATATAAGGATACATATTTAGCATACAGTAGGAAATTACATTTGTCTAGGGATGTGCTGAATGTTGTTTTTTTTCTAGGATCTATGACCTCTCCAGCCATGTGTACTTGGCTATGTTTACAGTACCACACATACATCCCCTCCTCTTGAGCAGGCCTTAAGTCCAATTAGATAGCTGTTGATTACCGCTACGATAAAAGTACCACTACTGCACCAATAAAGATAGCTTGCTATGGCTGGTACATTGTTGTAGTTCTAGGTTTTATAGCCAGAGTTGGACCATTAATTGATTTTTCTCCCTTAGCAGTTTGCATAGTATCCTCTTTAAGAGCCAGTCTTCAGTGAGGAGGCTTCCAGTTCAGTTCTAGCTCCTTTGCTCTAAGTCCTGTGTCTGAAGTATCTCCTGTTTTCAGCAGTAGGGTCTTACCTTCAAGTTCTGGGAGGCAGTCAAGGACTGTGGCAATAGCCTGTGTTTTTTGAGAAGTCTCTTGGAGTACCCTGACAAACACCTCGAAGGGAGGTTTCTCACTGGAATGTATGCTTTATTTTACACTAGCTCCAGCTGTAATTGCATGGTTAATTGTGTACGGATTCTAGAATAGTCCCTCTCAAGCCATCTTTGATAAATACCTTATTTTCTATTTTAGAATTTCCAGTCCTTCATGAACCAATACTTTTGTAAAAGTACAATAGGAAACATTACTGCCATATCAGGTTGCTGTATAGATGGTTTTGACTGCTTATCTCTGTCTACTTTCGTGGACAGTTGCCAGTGTCTGAGCCACAGTTTGAGTAGCACTAGCCTAGAAAGCACTTTGGAAGGCAGTGCTAGGGAGAAAAGCAAGTAGAATTATAAGTAAATAGTTTGCTTATTAATGAGTTTCTGTGTGGCCTTGGCATGCCATCACTGAGAACAGACCGTCTTTGAAGGGAAACAGATTGAAACTCCAGAGCAGGGTTATTGTGTCTCCTGCTGGGTGTGTCTGCTCACAGTTGTACTCCCACTCACTACTCCAGAATAGCAGCCACCTCTCCAGATGGGCTGTTTGTACCTCAAGCCTGGCCTGACCCTATTGGCGAAGCAAGTGCTGTTGCTATAGCGCTGTTTGCTGTTTGTGTCTCCATTTCTTTCCCTCTGGTTCTGGTAGTCCTTAGCTGCAATTGATGTCCCTCCTCACATTCACAGATTCTCTGCTTCTCTTTTGGGACCTGTCTAGTGTAGCAGTTCTTCCTCACCTAGGCCCCTTTCACCTCTGCTTCCATATTTGCAAAAGTGAAGTGGACTAATGAGGGAGTCACTCCAGGTGCCTCTCAGAACCCTGTGCCCTGTTCTTGGAGGCCATACAAGTCTGTTTCAGTGTGAATATTCCAACACTCATCTGTGCTCACCCCAGTAATTGGTGTTTTTAGAAAATATGGTAATAATGTGTTTTTGTGGATCAGGCTTTATAAGACCCTTGATATATCCTAGCAGTACGACTTGGCTTTATGAACTTTTAAGATCTGGGGGTAGGGATGGTACTTGGGATTGAACCCAGGGTCTTGGTCATGCTAAGCACATATTTGAACATGGAACTATACTCCCAACCTCAGATTCTGATGCTTTTATTTGACCTTGCCTGGTACTTGTTTTTATTTTTCTCGCTGGCACTCGAATGCTCTTTATTTCTATCTCAGGCTTAAAGTTCAAACTGGAGAGAATGTACCATATATGTCTTCTTGAGTTCCTGTGTTCTCATTTTGCCAAGGAACTTCCAGAGTGTTGTTTGGGCTCCCCCTGAAAGAAGAGGGTAGGTTAGGGCTCTAAGAAAAAGCCCAAGGGTTAGGTAATCCCAAAATGACTTTGTCTTGCCCTTCACCAGCATGACCATGGATATGCTAGGCAGCCTTTGTGTTTGTATGTGGGGGAGAGGGTTGTGTGCATGTGGAGGCCAGAGGTCAGGTGTCGTTCTTCAGGTGCAACCATGTTTGTTTTTAAAAATGGTTTTGTTGTGTTTTGTTTTGTTAGGCAGGCTCTCTGACTAGGACCTGGGGCTTGCTGATTTGGCTAGGCCACCTGGCCAGCAAGCCTCAGGGATTGTCCTGGCTTCACCATACCCAAGCTTTTTACATGGGAGCAGGTCCTCATCCTTTCCTGGCAAGCACTTTACCAACTGAGCTATCCCTATTCCCACAGGTAGTCTTTTTGAGCCTATGTAAATTGCATATAATAATGAATCTAGGGTTAAAGATGTTTGGCTTATAAGTGTTAGGCAAATATTAGCTGATGGACTATTATTTTCTATCATTAATAAAACAAAATTGTCACAACAACAACAACAAAAAGCCTTTTGACAGTGTGGCTGGATTATTCTGTGTTGTGGAATGCTATCCTATGCATTGTAGACAGACCTGCCTCTACCCACTAGGTGCTTGTTGTACCCCTCCTCTCCCCAGATGTGGCAAACAAAATGTTTTTATTCATTTCTAAGTATCCCCTGCAGGGCAAATTGTCCCTGGTTGAGACCTGCTTATAACTAAGATGAAATAGAACTGTTATATGTACTTGAAATAGTTTAGAATTTCTTGAAACATTTTGCCCAATGGAATTTGGATTTCTTTTTCTGAACCTCTACTGTTCCTATGTGTAGCTTAAAACATTCTTGAAGTAATTATCCAAGTGACATGTGTAGGATGGTGTCTGTGGGTAGGGTAGCTGGTGCATTCTCCCTGGTGCTGACGCTGGGCTCTTCTTTGGCAGCATACTGTAAGAACTCTGTGGATGGTCTCTGGTATTGCTTTGATGACAGTGATGTACAGCAGCTTTCTGAAGAGGAGGTGTGCACACAGACAGCCTACATTCTTTTCTACCAGAGGCGAACAGCCATCCCTTCATGGTCGGCCAACAGTTCAGTGGCAGGTAAGGCTGACCCTGATTCTTGGGTGATTTTTTTTTCCAGAACAGAAGGTTGTAATTCATGGTCCAGAGGATGTCCTGGGAAGCTTCATTCTTGAAAGCTTGATCAGGTTAGTTCTCATGTTTCCATTTATGCTGGTAACTAACATGATTTCAGTCAAAGAAATACAGGTGGACTACATGGGCCAGCAGCATTCACATAGAGGTGAAACATAGCTGGGCTCAGACTGTTCCAGATGTTTACTTCTGGGCCAAGTGCATAGAGGAGTGGTCCAGCAGTCTGGTTCTGGTGTGGTGCTCTGATATTTCCTTGGGCTATCTTAGAGCATTTCCTATCTGAGCTGTATACTCAAATCTGATGTGATTGTCAGTATAACACCTGTTTAGTGGGGTTACTGTTTCCATAATATTGGTAAAGAAATGTGGACACATTCTGTAAAAGGTAAAGTACTATTAGAGTTTTTTCTCCAGTAAGAATCTATTCTGTTAGGGGAAGGATTGGTGGATGTGTTAGATGGCTTAGTTTGCTGTTGAGATGTAGTCCATTGTGTTAATAAATGCGGGAATGAGTATCTCCTCCCCCCACCCCCCGACATGAATGCAGCTACAGATAATTCTGTGGCTTTAAGAAAATATGGTAGAAGATTGAAATGTGATATGCTAATGGTTAGGGCAGGGAATGATGACCTGTATCCCTCTCCAAGCCCATGAGAGGAATGTTCAAAGCATCTGAAGGGAGCAGAGTGACCCCCTGCCAGGAGATAAGCCCTCCCCAGTATGAAGGGCTCACTTGAATTAAAGTGGAAACTTCAGTATTCTTGGGCCTTGCCCCAGGGCTCTCCAGAGCCTGAGATGTGCTCAAAAATGACAGGCTCTTGAGGTCTGTTTGAGTCAGTGCTCATTCATATAATCAATTTCAAGAGCACTTTTTATTGCCGAACATATATTTAAGGCTACCCTAGGAATTGACAGGACAGATTGAAATATAGTGTCCTCTTTTGCTCTCGCTCTCTTGCTCTCGCTCTTTGTGTGTATCATTAATTATGAAATGACTAAAAGTTTCCGAAGGATACCAAAGCTAAGAAATCAGTGTACCTGTTGCTTTTTTTCTTGGTTATTTGGAAATATTAGTGCAGGTGTTCAGAACTGTGTCTGTCATGTAGGTACTTAATGAATACTTGTGGAGTGAGTGGATATGTTTCTGTTCTATTTTCACACTAACTCTTACAATGAGGTTGTTGCTTTCTGCAGTATTCATTCTATACTTGGATTTCATTTCCACAACCTTCATGTATATGGGAACTGCCTGGCATTTCTTCGTCTTTACTAGGGATATTCAGCTCTGGAAGTTTGCCTTAACTTTGGGGTGAGGACACAAATCTCCTCCAGCTTGGCTGGTAGCCCCTTATGGGGTATGTGCACTGCAGGACCCTGGCTGACCTCAGCACCCATCTCCTTTTCCACAGGTTCCACAAGTTCTTCCCTGTGTGAGCACTGGGTGAGCCGGCTCCCAGGGAGCAAGCAAGCCAGCGTGACCTCTGCAGCCTCTTCCAGACGCACTTCCTTGGCCTCACTCTCTGAGTCTGTGGAGATGGCTGGGGAAAGGAGTGAAGATGATGGTAGGTATGGGTTTTGAATTTCCAAACTGGCAACTCACAGACAAAGCACAGGGTCTCTCAGGCTTAGGAGCAAAGTCCAAGGAGATTGTAGGAGAACTCAAAGGAGTGGGGGCTATCTAACTGAGTTGTGATCATCAGCAGTGTCTTGCATGGGCAGGGTTGTGGCTTTTCCTCTGTGACTCAGGACTTTTTCCTGCCACTGAGTTATTTCCCACTTCTATAGTCTAGTGTGCAGGATGGAGCTTTACTCTAAATGGTAATGAGCAGCACTTTTTTGTTAAAATCCTCAAAATGGTTGTAAGGACTCAGAGAAGTTGTGCCTTGCCAGGGCTGTCTGGTGTAGAAATGCTGTTCTCACCCTACTGAGCAGACCATTGGCTCAGCTCCACAGTTCTTATGATGGTCACAGTATAAACACTGGGAAGAATTTGGTTAAATACTGAAGTGTTTTGTTTGTTTCTTGGTACCTTTCACATACTGCTTGCATATTGACAAGACAGCCTTTAGTACTAACAAGAACCCAGATGGTGTGAGGTGGATTGATTGGGCAGCCCAAGAACCAAGAGCTGGAAGGAGGAAAGGGTGAGCTCAGCTTTTATAATGAAGACAGTGACTCATCTTCCAATAAGACTCACTCTGCGGCCGGTGTTTCGATTGCTGTAATCTGCTTCTAGGGGTGATGATAATTCTGAGAAAATGAAATGGAGCCAAAATGGAAGACAGTTGGAAGAAGAAGACCAGGCTAGGAGAGCTGTGCTATGTCTGTCTCTGCTTCCCTTTCTGGCATGTTGCTTTTTTTTTCCTTGTGAAATAAGAATATGGGACCGTCATTGCTAAGCCCCTTCTCATTCCCAATACTTAATGACAAGCTGACTAGTGAACCCTTGAGGTGGAGATTGTTTTCACCATAGCCCAATAAACTTGAAGCTCACTGTTGTTTTAACAATAAGCTCAAAAATGTTTTGCCTTAATCTATTTTTAAATAGTCTAGTTTGTGAAATCAATATCCTCTTAAGTATTGTCATCATTTAATGGTGTTCAGTGGCACACATAGAGCAGAGCTTGCCTCTTAGGAGATACTCAGAGTTTTACAAAGGCCACAGTTAGAATAACAGTGTGTATAGAATTCCAAGCTTAGAGCATATTCTTGGGAAGCTTTCAGACACTACAAATACTAGTCTATTACTCTGATTATGAGTATTTTCTTCAAAGTTACTCGGGATGGTTATGCATTATATCCAAGGCTCCTAGTTCTTTCTGTTGATGCCCTTTGGTTGTTCCATAGTTACACATGGAATGAAGTGAGGCTCATAGGGTCATGGGTTCTTCTATTATCTTGAGCAAGGACTTCATTCTGTGAGCCTGAGATATCCTTCAGGAAGATGAAGGAGCTTGGTTAGCAGCCCATGATTAGTGAGCATCTAGGAATACCAGGGACCATGCTGAGCACATAGATTTTATTTAATTTTTACATTAGACCAATGCTCAGCACATATGGCTGGCTGTGTTTTTCCATAAAGTTTTTGGAACACAGCTGTGCCCGATTGTGTCAGCTGTGGCTATTTTCATATAAAGGTGGCAAAGCTGAGCGATTGCCCCACAGTCTGACATATTAACTGAATCTTTCTGGAAAGTGTGCTGATCCCTATGTACGACCAGGTGGATAGAGAACATTCTACTGACTTCAGAGTTAGACTGATCCTATTTTTTGGATAGGGGAACTGGCCTCAAAGGTTGAAACCACATAGCTCTCTTTGACCCTAACAGCAGGTTGGCCTGAAGGTTATGCTCCTGTCATGCTCCCGGGCTTGCCTTTGCTGTCTTCAGTGTCTTAAGATGTTACTTGAATATTTTTGTCGATTTAACTTAACAGAATTCTCTCTGATGTGCAGGAGGCTTTTCCACTCGACCATTTGTGAGAAGTGTCCAGCGTCAGAGCTTGTCATCCAGATCTTCTGTCACCAGCCCCTTGGCTGTCAATGAAAATTGCATGCGACCTTCTTGGTCCCTGTCAGCCAAGCTGCAAATGCGCTCCAGTTCTCCGTCCCGATTCTCTGGGGACTCGCCAATTCATGGATCTGCCTCCACTCTTGAAAGGATTGGGGAGGCGGGTGACGACAAAGTCTCCATCTCTTGCTTTGGTAGTCTGCGGAACCTTTCTGGTAGTCACCAGGAACCAAGCGACAGTCACAGTCGACGAGAGCACAAGGCTGTGGGCCGGGCCCCGCTGGCTGTTATGGAAGGTGTGTTCAAAGATGAGTCAGATTCCCGTAAATTGAACTCCAGTGTTTTAGACACACCAACCAAAAACTTAGCACAAGGGGATTGCTTGCCCCCTGTCTCTGATCCATTTGATAACAATAACCAAATTGCTTATGTGGATCAGAGTGACTCTGTCGACAGCTCCCCAGTCAAAGAGGTGAAACCTCCAAGCCACCCAGGTTCTTTCACAAAGAAACCAGAGAGCACAACAAAAAGATCCCCCAGTTCCAAACACACTTCTGAGCCAGAGAAGAGCATTCGGAAGGGGAGGCCGGCCTTGGCAAGCCAGGAATCTTCTCTTTCAAGTACATCCCCTTCTTCTCCTGTTCCTGTAAAGGTTTCTCTGAAACCTGCCCGCTGTCGGAGCAAGGCATCAGATTCTTCCAGGGCCAATGGAAGGCATTCATCTCCTGCTCCTGCCCAACTCAAAAAAGAGTCTTCCTCTAGGTCCCAGGAATCCATGTCATCTCCTGCTCAGCAGAAGCAGAAGTCTGCTTCTGCCTTTACTTACAACTCTACAACTGCCAAAAAAGCCTCAGGCCCTGCCACCAGGGGCCCCTTCCCTCCTGGGAAGAGTAGGACTTCAGACCGGAGCTTGAGTAGAGAGGGCTCCAGACAAAGCCTGGGTTCTGACAGAGCCAGTGTCACCTCCACCTCCAAACCCAGTTCCCCTCGGGTGAACCAGGCCAGAACCGGGGATAGCAGAGGTGACGGCAGGCATGTCCGGAGCTCCTCCATGGCTAGCCTGCGCTCCCCTAGTACGAGTGTGCGGTCTGGTCTGAAGAGGGACAGCAAGTCTGAGGATAAGGGACTGTCTTTCTTCAAGTCAGCCTTGAGACAGAAGGAAACCCGGAGATCAACTGATCTTGGCAAGACAACCTTGCTGTCCAAAAAGGCTGGGAGCTCTGTCAGGTCAGTCAGTAAAAACACAGATGACAAGGTAGAGAAAGGCCACCAGCCTCCAGGCTCACAGCAGCCAAACACAAATGCAGGTGGAAAAGACCAGCTTGTCTCCAAGGACCCTGCTTCTGCTAAACATTCCCTGCTGTCTGCTCGCAAAGCCAAGTCTTCACAGCTAGATTCCGGAGTTTCGTCTTCTCCCAGGAGCAGACCAACTATGGAGAAAGGCTCCCAAAAGTTATCTTCTAGCATGCAAGCATCTGCACGGCCTTCTCAGAACCCTCAGTGACCCTTCTGCGATCCGAGTGTTTTATCTGTACAGATGTTTATTTATTTAGAACCCCTCCCCCACCAAAGCCCTCTGTGCTTTTGTTTTGTATTTTTTAGGTCATGTGCCTGACTGTGTGAATGTGTGTGGGTGCACGTGTATGTATGTATGTGAGGAGAATTCAAATTGTTAAAAGCGTCGCCTTATTCTGCCATTGAACCAAATAACAGCCATAGGCAAAGCATTGATACCAAGCTAACTGAAGTAACTAGACAGTAATCTGGACAGTCCCTTTAGCAATTGTACATAGTTCCTTCTAGAGAAATCTAATGACTTTCATTGGACACTAGGGTTTGGAAACCAGTGAACTAATTTAACTATCAGTGTATAGACAGATGAACTGTTTCATTTGGGTGTCATCTGAGCAGAGTTTGTCCTCGTGTGGATTGTTAAGTGGTATCAGGAGCTTAAAAAACAAACAAAAAACTGTGATGCAGACAATGAAATAAACTGAAGGAAAACTTGCTTTCTGCACTTTCGCCCCATCCACCAGTCTTTGTAAGGGCAATATTTAACACTAATGTTTCTCAGGTATATATACACAGCTAGTCTAGGATGGATGTATATTAAGGGTGACATGAGGGCCACTGTCGTTTTTCTACTGCCACAGATGGAGTTTTAGAGGTAAAGTCTTTTGCTACCTTCATATCTGAAGAGATGTGCATACCCTAACTTGTCTTGATTTTTTGGATATGTCCTACGATGTGGCAAATTGGGTAGTCAAAAAGCCAGTTACTAATTCAACTTTCTTTCCTTCTAAATTTGCTAGCTAAGGTCATTGAGGTTTTGCACTGTAGTAGAGCTGTTAATGCCTTCGAAGACTCCCAGAAAAAGAATTGTATTCTAAACTGGAGGCATGAGTTGACACCATTTTCCTTCTCTAGTGTTGTTTTTTGATGTTTGATGGTGAAGATTCCATGCTGCCCTTGTCTGCATGCTTATTTACTTGCCATTTAGAAGGGAAAGAAGTCTCCTCCTGCCAAGAGTCAGTGCTGGTTTGTTGAAGGATGTGAGACAAAGTATTCTGTATGCACTTCGGGTCCTGCTCATCATTCTTCATTATGACTGCTTTTCAGTAACTCACTTATGCCTGTGTGGAAGATTTAATCTCATACCCAGAGAACTCAGAAGCAGAGTTTGGCACATGTTCCATCTGGCATTGTCAGTTGCAAATTACATTTCTTATATAGGAAAAGGGGAAACCTCACAGAAATCTCACAGATAAGCAAAACATAGTTTTCCAAGGTTTGCGGAGGTCTCTTGGAAATACTTTCCAGTTCAGTTTTTAGCATTTTGTACCCCTTTACTTTACTTTTTTTTTAATATCAAGAATCATGGTCCTGATTCTCCATGAATAACATTTGTCATTCTGTCATTAAATACAGATGTTGAGTTTATGTGCTTTTAAATACTAACTCTTGGTTCCTAGGTCCATTTATAATCTCTTTTCAGTGTTGTCTGGTTGAAGCAGCTACAGTGCATGGGTGTGCAGTTGTGATTTCTGCCCTCCCTTCCCTCTCTCCCCTCCCTCCCTCCCTTAAATGAATACCTCTTGGGTAATATTTCCATTGGTTACTTAATTTTATTTTGCTGCTGATTTGAGCAATAGTTGGTAATGTGAAAGTTGAGGGTAGCTAGGATTTTTAGCTCTTGCAATATTTAAGGCTTAGATGTTCGGCCTTGTGCACATTCCCAAAGTGTGCCATGTAATTCAGTGAAAGGGAGCTGATGCCCACTGCACTCAATCCTGTACAGGCCACCACATGTCCTCCTTCCTCTTACCTGGCAGACCTCAGTGGCTTTCCAAAGCAGCACTGCTGACTTGGTATGACTGAGATGACAGTCGCTATTGCTTCATCGGCAGGTCAGCCCCACCAATGTCTAGTCACCACTGTTTGCTTTTATTGCTTTCATTTTCTGAAGAAAAAACCCCCACTAAATATGGGACCATTAGTATCAGGAATTTAGTGCTTGTCTGATTTGAGCCTTCCAATTTTGTTTAGTAGGTAAATATTTGAAATCTCCCATCTAAAGCTCTGAAACAGTCTTAAAATTGTAGTGTGATAAGACAAAGGATTTTAATAACATGCTACTTTGCCATAATTAGTTAAGCATTAATAGAAGCTAGTTTAAATTTCACAGTGGTAAATACTTTTATTCTTGAGTGTGGTAGGAATGGATTTTCCACCATGTATCATATTTTCTTTTTCTCTTTCTTTTTCTTTCTTTCTTTCTTTCTTTCTTTCTTTCTCTTTTTGAAACAGGGTCTTCCTGTAGCCCCAGCTGGCCTGGAGCTCACTATGTAGACCAGGCTGGACTTGAACTCACAGAGATCCACAT